TAATATAACAAACATGTGCAAAAGCTATTTATTATTCATTATATAAAAAAAATTTTTTTTTAATTATGATTATATTTCTGTCTTATCTTGAGTAAATCAAGATTTTTAACAAACCAAAAAGTAAGAATCTACTTTATTTTTATTCTATTCATACTGCAAAATTAATTAATATTTGCTGTATTAAGTGAAAAAAAAAAAGGGTTTGGGCCCTATAGCTTAATTGTTAAGTTGCCAAACTCCCATGGAAATTAGGTCAAGGTTCATGGCTCAAGTCAGGCTAGAGGCAGAAAAAACTCTATAATCTACAGGTGTGAAGCCAAAATCAAACACAGAGACCCGTAGAAGTCCAAGTATAGTATGAATTTGATAGGAAATTGCCAGAAGGAGATCTAACTATAGAGATGTTTGGCAAGTGGCATCATAGAAGGTCTGGACAATAGGTTGCGCATGTTAATCTGTGAAGATCAAACCTATAGAGAGTTGGCATTATGTATGGCAAGTGGCATCATAGAAGGTTGAGGACAAATAGGTTGCACATGTAAATCCTCGAGGCACTTAGGTAATACCAACAATCCAGGTGGTCTGGGATCTTGTTTGGGAGGGTAATACTAATGTTCTAAACTGGAAATAACGAGTGAAGCAGTGGATATAGTGACAGATCTGCATAGTAGCACTAACAACCCAGGGGTCTGGGATCTTGTTTGGAAGAGTAATACTAATTTTCAAACTGGAAGTGATAAGTGAAGCAGTAGATATAGTAAAGATATGTAAAAAAGGATTGGTCTAATTAAATTCTGGAAATACCTCTGACACCTATATAAGGTTAGAAGTTGCGTTAGGTATTGCATTATACATTACTAACTTCAGTAATGAGTGCCATGCTGGTGCATTGTTAGTCAAGATTCTAGATCTCCTTGCAGCACCAAGCTGGAAGTAAAAACAATCATCAGTCGTACACCCACACATAAAAATGTGTACACTGAGAAGCCTTTGACGCTTATACTACAGACAATACCTACTTTGGTAGCATTATAAAGGCAAGTGGTACACTGCAGAGTAACAACTGAAAATTCCAATAAATCTGGCCGTGCCCATTTGGGAAAGTTGTAGCTTGAGATACGAATCATGACACGGCAGCACTCCAAAAGTTGGCTTGAGATACAAACATGATGATGGTAGCACAATATATATCCAAATCAGAGTGGTACTAAATCAAATATAAGGCCATGTACACCAATTTGCGAGCAACAAGAGCGAAAAACCACTGGAATGAACCAAATTGGGAGGAAAAGAAAGTTATTGCAGAAAGTAAATAGGGAGACAAGATACTAATAACAATACAAAAAAACTATATATAGTGAAAAGGTGGGTTGTACACCAGCTAGAAGTTGATTAATAGGGTAATAGCCATTGATTAAATTCTAAGATATAGCAAAAATATGACTAAATTGCTTAGGGTGGATGTCATTAGATAAGACTAATATAGCACAACTTAATTTCTGTAATATATAATATGTAATAAGTTCTTAAGCTCTTAATTAATAAAAATTACAGTGTATAAGCTATTTAAAAAAAAAAAAAAAAAGTGAAAAAAATAGAAAAAAACTTGAAGCAAGCAGGAGTTACCAAAAAAAAAAAAGAGCTAGAACATGTGTGAAAAATTAGCAGTTGTTACATATCTTGAAAAAAGCTCTATAGCTAGCAAATGGAATGTTGCTGCACAATTTAACATAACACTAAAGCAACTACGTGAATAGATCAAACAAAAAAATGAACTTAAAAATGCCCTATCTTATATTAAACAGTTAATTATTGGTGGTCACCCCAAATATCTACTTTTAGAAATTGATCTTTTAGCTTGGATTAAATCTTTACAAGCAAAACAAAAAGCTGTAACCCAAAATATAGTTACTAAAGCAAAACAACTTGCAAGACAGTCCTATTTTACTTCACTTTACCCAACAATTAATGAATCTAGTAGAGCAATAGATGGATAGAGGGTTTTATATGCCATAACAATTTGAGCAATTGACATTATACTACTGTTACACAAAGACTGCCAGAGGATTTAGAATCTCTAAAAAATGAATTTTTGAGTTATATGTTATATTAATAAATGTGTTATAAATATCTGCTTTCTTTTATTAAAAATATGGATGAAACACTATTAGCATTTGATATGTCTAGCAATTATACAATCAAAGAAACTGACACTCATATAGTTAGAATTAATACAACTAGTTATGAAAAATCTAATTTTACAATTGTTTTAAGCTGTTTAGCTGATAAAACTAAATTGCCCCCAATGATAATTTTTAAGTTAGTAAATATACCACAGCAAATATTTTCTCCAGGTATTGTTGTATGAGTTAATTCACAAGGATACATAAATGCTGAAAAAATAATTTTTTGATTCAAAAAAATCTGGAACCATCAAGCACCTTTGTCTGTTGATCCTCAATCATTACTTGTTTTAAATTCATTCAGTAATCATCTTACAGATCTGGTTAAAAATTAGTTTAAAAAGAAAAATACTGATATTGCAGTTATTCCATGAGAACTTACAAAAAAATTGCAACTATTAGATATATATATAAATAAATCTTTTAAAGAAGAGGTATCCTAATTTATTTTTTATTTTTTAATATACAATATTGTATTTATTTAACATTATTTAATAATTATATAATTGTTATAGCTAATACTAAAATTTAGCTGAAGTTAAAACTAATATATCTGATTGGTTAATAATATTTGTCAATCATTAGTATATTAGTTTTAACTTTGGCTAAAAGTTAATATTAGTCATAACAATACTTTTATCTTTTTTTTTTGAATTTAAGTATTGTAAATATTATCTTAATTGGATGAGCGAAGAAATTAAAAAACTTATACCTACAGATCATATTTAGTGTCTTGCTTATAATATGGTAGCCGAATAGATAAAATTGGTATGGAACCATGTTGACTCTGGTCTAATCAAATGATCATTCAAATGCTGTAGTATAATTACTGCTCAGGATGGATCTGAAGAAGATATAATGTTTGATTATAATTGGGTTAATAATCTAGAATGTCAAAATAAGAATAATAGTTGTATATATGTTGGTGTGAATAATATAAACAAGTTGTCAATTTGACTCAAGATATTAATAGCAATAATGAGAGTAGTGCAGATAAATTAATAAAAATAGAGACGAATATGACAATAATTAAAATGGTGATAGCATGGATGAAAATGAAAATGCTAATAGTGTGGATAAAAATGAGAATTATGATAGCATGGATGAAAATAAAAATTATAATAGTTGGAATAAAAATAAGGATGAAGATAGGTGTGATTAAGGTATGCAAAATTTTTTTTTAAAAAAATTTTTTTTAATTATTTAAATAATTTAGATAAGCAATTTAATACAGATGACCAAGAAAGTTATAAAGAAGATTCATATTATGATGATAAAATAACCAATTATGTTCATATGTAGGATTAAGAAAAATTCTTCCCACTTACTCAAATCATAAAAATATAGTGTACAGCTAATGTAGAAATATAAATAGTGCAAGTATAGTCAAATAATGGTATTCAATTTTATCGTATAATAAAGAATTTCTTAGTTTTAATAAATTATTAGAAACAATGCTTATATCAAATAATCGAAGGCAACAATGTTGTATTTAAACTATATAATATAATTGTATAATTCACTTGTAGATTTAAATAGATTATTATAAATTAAGTTAGTTTATTTAAGGGTATTAGAAAATTATGTACCTGTTCATACTTAAACATATTTTCTTAGATTCTTAGATTTCAAAAATGATAAGTGAAAAAAAATTTTTTTTTATTAATATTCGTTGAATTAGATAACTCTGATACTATATATAATGTTGGATATTGCTATCAAAATGGCTTTAAAAAGATGAATATCAAGCATTTATTAACTATCAAAATAGATAATCATAAATATATTGCATATATAAAAATCATTTTATATTTAATAAGTGTTAAGTTAAATAATGCATTACAATTAAAAACAATATTAAAACTTTACATGTTAACTAACTATATTAGGATACAATCAGAACAGTTTATTGAAATTCGAATTAGATAATGCATTAGTATTAAGACAAAAAAATTTATCACATAATAGATACTAGTATTTTATTTTCAAGTATTAACCTCGGGTTTGTTAATATGAATTCCTATTAGTATACCAGGTCTTTTAATATTTTATTCCTAATTGTATACCCGGGTCTCTTACACTTCACCAAAGCTTTATCCCATGTTATAGACCCGGGTCTAATACCTAGTGGGTCTGATATATGGGGGGTCTTGTATATGGCAGTTTACAGTAGTGCTTAGCAAAATTAAACTTTTTTTGATACTCAAATACATGTGATAATTTGATTTTTAAATCAGTACAACAATACGATAATGTGATAACTATAAAATATAGTATTGCTATATTAATTTAAAAGTCAGCCTGTTACATATATTTGAAAGTCAAAAAATGTTTGATTTTGCCAAGCACTAATAAAGACAAAAATACCTATATTTAACAATCCATTGGGTTAATTTTAATATTTTAATTATTATTATATTTAAAATTATTTTATTTACAATTTTGTTAAAAATTGAAGAGAGGGTTGCTTAGTAAAAAATTTATTTTTTTTAGAAAACTCTAAATTTTAAAAGACAAAAGATTTTATAGTAAATTTTTTTACAGTTTATTTTGTTTTTTTTACTAGTTCTTTAGCAAATTATAAATAAATAATCTAAAATTGTCTTCTAAGTACTTTTTTTAAGTTTATAATTTTATATATAATTATTACTTTAAAATTAGTACAGATTTTTTAAAAAAATTATTTTTTTAAATTGTACAAAAATTACAAAAAATTTTAATTTAAAACTTAAAGAAATTTTTTTATTTTATAATCTATTTAATTGTAAAATTTAATTGCAAAATAATAATTAAACAATAGCATAACAATTTGTAATTTTACTTTTGCCTTTTTGGTTGTAATGTTTTAACAGGAGAACTTGCACGTTTTTTGCCTTTTATATCCTTATTATTATTATTACTTTCACCATAGTTGCTACTTTCTGAATCTTCATTTTTATTTTTTTCAATATCCATTAAGTCTCTTTCAAGATCTAATGTTTCATTTTTTTCAAGATCCATTAAATCACCCTCAAGATCTAATGTTCCATTTTTTAAAAGTTTAGGTTCTTCTGGTAAAATTGGATATTCTGCAGCTAATTCTTCAAGTTTTATATATAATTTTGTAATTGTTATCCTGTCTTCTGGTATTTGCTTCCATGCTATTATTAATTAAAAAAAAAGAAGTCAAAAATAATTATAATAAAAGTATGAAAAAGCACAGTATTAATTTAGTTTAATATTACTGTTTTTGATAATTTCAATAAGTTCTTTTTGAAGTTTAGCATCATCTTGATTATCAAATTTTCCATATGGAAGTTTTTCTCGTTTATCACTTAAAACATGTTTAGAAATTTCTATGAATCCCCAATCTTCATAAGGTAACTTTTCATAACAAAGCTCCCAAATCAGCATTCCAAAACTAATTGCAGAGATTAATTGTTAAAAATAATAGAAATAAAAATGAATTTTAATTATATTAACATTAAATACCTAAACATTTCACAATTGAATGTATAAACTTTTTCAGCATGATTTTTTTTTTCATATTTCATTAATAGCTCAGGTGCCATCCAACGAATAATCATAGTTACTAAATCTGACAGATTTGTAGTAGTACCTTCTAGTGTACGTGCATATCTAAAATTTCCAAGTTTTGGGTCCAAATTATGAGGTACCTACAATCTAACTGTTAATTTATAGTTTTGAAATCAAAATATATGATGTTTTTTTAAAATAATACTTACTAAAACATTTTCGCATCTAACATCATGATGCAAAATATTTACATTGCGCAAAAAAACAAGACCACGACAAATATCTCGTATAATTTGTAATTTTCTTGTCCAAGGAATGTTATAATTATTATAAAGATCTTTTAAAGATCCATATTCAGCCCATTCAAAAACCATAACTTCTCGAATATCAACATATGAAAGACCATAGAAACGGCGAATATATGGGTGGTCTAATTTTTCAAGTATCGCTAAATGACCTCGGAAATCTTCAGAATCTTGAAAATTTTTACATGCTACTTCGATTGTACCGTAAAACTTTTTAATAGAATTATCAAGAGTATTTTTTTTTTGTGGAACAAGAGAATCAGTTAATTCATTCGGTTCAATCCTTTTCACATTGATATCGCTTGGTTGTTTAGCTATTTTTTGGGCCAACAACACATCAAGTTTATCATCAAAATCTTTAAGAGTCTAAAATAGATAATAATATACATAGAGAATGTATATATTTTAAAAGACAAAAACAACATAAATTAACATTGTATTTCTGAGTTTTTAAATAATTCTAACATACCGGTACTTTTTCAGTTTCTTCTAGATCTTTATCAACTTTTTGAGATTCTTCTATTTTAGTGTCATTATTTGCAATATAGTAAGCAGAATGTAGTAGTAGATCTCTTATACACGTATCATATTCTTCTGTTAGTTGCTCATATTTACTTTTGACTTCTTTTGCGTCAGTAAATTGTTTATAACCCTTAAGTTTTGACACTTTCTCAGAAAATTCTTTGATTTTTATCAAAACGCTTTCAAGACGTTTAAGTACTATAACAAATTCTCTTCGCTTAAATTTTTCTTCATCATTTCTCATAAACTCTTCAATGATTGATTCCGCATTTTTTACCCGATTCGTCATTATTAGAGTAGTTTCTTTATTACATTCTGCATTTACATAAATTTGAAATGTTACTTCAGCTGAAGTTTTTATCGCATTGATTATAGTGGAAATTGTAATATTTGCAACGGCAGAACTTGCAAGATTCGTAAGCATATCCATAATTATGATAAAATAAATGTTAAATGTTTAGTAAAGATATGTACATTTGTTATCCGGAGTGAAGCGGAAGGCGCTTTATAATTTTGGCACGACTATCTTTGCCGTATATGATGTGTTCTAGACCCATAAATGCATTTAGGGAAATTTGACTTTTTGCAATGGGATACAGTACCTTGGCCGACATATTAATATTCCCGATGTATTCCAACCAGGAATTTTGTGATCCCCCTGTAAAAATATGAGATACCTAGGGACCTCAGCATAAAAAAGCAAATTGTGCGATGCGATTGGATCAAATTATGCGAGATGACTATAAATTATGCGATTTCATTAACCACGTGATGAATATACTCGATTTGAATTTGTCAGTTTCGTTCGGAACTTTGCGTAATTTATGTTGTTTGATTTTCTACTCGGAAATATGCCGGAAAGCACCTGCTATCTTGGGATGTGCACTTAATTCTAAAACACGCATATTATTTTCAAGTAATACAATTTTGTAGATACGATAAAACAAAAAAGATTATCGATAAAAATTTTCTAAATAATTGGCGTCAATATTGAATATAAATACTTCGACGTTCATAAATTACATTAATCTACAGAGACGGCGGTTTTAAAATTTCTTGCCTCAGTGCAAGAAATATAAAACCTTAACTATAAAGTTAATGTAACATATGATCAAGTAGTACACTTTATTGATGACAATAATTTAGGAAATATTTGTTAACTTATTTATTTATACTTCGTCTCGATAAGGAATGATTGTGGTTTTTTTAGATTCCCTATGATGTAATGCAGTATGATTAAATTACGACAGGGTGAAACCCGCGAAAGTGGTTACGTTATTGATGCAGATCACTATCTAATATAGTAACTAACCCCAATTGCCCCTATTGATTTACTTATTTTTGCAAGTAACACAAACCAAAAAAGGAAATCGAATTTTGTAAATAAACTGTGCGTAAAAATAGAAGTTTAGGATTAGGACGTTAGGGTTGTGAGCTTTAGCAATAAGTTAGAGTTTCTTATATGTAAAATTTCACTCCCGTTATTTTTTATTAATTCACCAAGGTCGATTTAAACACTAGTTTCTGAGTATTTTCGCTTTCTTTTCTTTTTT